GGAAAAATGAGGATGTTTACTGTATTTTGGTGTTGGGAATGGGTCTCAGGCATGCTTGGCAACACTGTATCCCTGAGCCATGTTCCCATGGGGACATTGGAACCTTGCACATGTTACGTGTCATTTGCATGTAGAGGCTTGATCTAAACCCCAAGAACATTAAGCTGGGGATTTCTCAGGAAGTTAGTGGGGCCTGACGTAGTGGGGCCTGACCTTAGGCTGTCAGCTGACATCTGTGGCTGGGTGTGGCCTTCTAAGCATCACTAGGTGTCTCCTTTGTGGTTAGGGCGGGGGGGGGTGTCACCCAAATATGCTGACAGGTTCCCTTCAGGCCATAGCATTTCCATGATGCCCCTCCTAGGGTATGCCTCCCCCCTATGCTTTCAATGTGACACACTGCCAGATGAGGCCATGGCATATCACTGCTGAAAGAACAGGAAAGGGAGAAAAGCTGATCTCTTCCCTAGAATGAAAACAGAGTGAATGAAGCTTTTTGTGTGCCTTATGGGCAGAGGCCAGCCAAGAATGCTGGTAGCCTTGATGTTCACGCCAAATATGCCTACACAGAGAGGCTTAGATTTATGCTGAACAAGGAAAGTCATTGGGCTGGGGTGTGGCTCAGTGGCACTGTGCCAGGCCCTGGTTCCAACACTAGCACTAGGGGTAAAAACAAAATGACTAGAAGTAGGATCCTGAAGTTAAGTCAAGATAGGTGACCCCTGACCTCTCTGTTACTAATGAAGAAACAGGCTCAGGGGACTGGAGAGATGGCTCAGTGGTTAAGAGCACTGGCTGCACTTACAGGGGATCTGGGTTCAGTTCCCAGATCCCATCCATAACTCCAGTTCCAGGTGATTCAGTGCCCTCTTTCAGCCACAAGGCATTGTACACCTGGGTACACTTACTTACATACAAAACACTCATACACATAAAATAAATACAAAGAAAAAAAAGAGGGAGATGGGAGGTGGAGACAGGAGAATTCTCTGAAGCTCTGGCCAGCTAGCCTGGCATATAGTAGAAAAATAACAAAGAGGCCATCTCAGTGCCACACAAGGGCCGTGGTATACCCACATTCACACACACAAATGCTGGTATGTGTGTACACACATAAAAAATGTAAAAAATTAAAGATGCACCATCCAAAGGGTCCATGGACAATGTGGGTGCAGGTGGCCCTTTGGGTGACATTTACCACTCTTGTAGGCATGGCTTTGGCTCAAGGTCATTGTTGGGATCCCTACACCAGGGAGCTACCTCTGTCCTGTTTCATACAAATGTCTTGAGGTGCCACAGGCTGCCCCCTGGGGACCATGGGATCCCTACCCTTGGCTCTCTGTGGAGGGAGGGCAGCAAGGGAGGCAGTGTCCTTGGCCAGAGAGTAGAGGGTGAGTAAGAGGGGGGCCTTGCAGTCGACTGCCTCCTGGGGATATGCTTGGTGTCTATTTCTGATCACTCCCTGGTTGGGCAGCTTGGCGGCAGGCCTGCTCATGAACTGCATTCACCCCAGCAACTGAGCTTTACTGTCATTTTGTGCAAAGGATTGTCTGTACCTCTCTTGGGCTTCTGAGGCAGTGTGGTCTACAAGGCAGAGACTATGTGGTCAGGCTGCTATGGGGTAGTGGCTGGCTTAGAGACTGCATTCCGGGTGATGTGGACCATCAAATATCCTGTCCTAATTTGAGCACCTGGAGGTACAAGAGACCCAAGGCTGCTCTCAACAAACAAAATCCCAAACAACCCCCAGAAACAAGCCCCAAAACAACAGTAAAACAACCTGAACAAAACAAAACCTCCACCTTTCCCAAGTGCCCAGGACTGGAAAGAACAAGGTTAAGTGCAGGCCCTGGACAGTTCGCTAAAGAAGAAAAGGGAGTTAGATTGGGAATTAGCATTGTCCTGAAGCAGTTTTTTCGTATACTGGAACCGTTCTCAGCTTAGCTGTTCACCAGAGACAGGAGACACTTCATGTCTCACTCTAGTGAAGGTAAAGACACAGAATCAACTGGGCATGATGGCAAACGCCTTCAGGAGGCAAAGGTAGGGGATCTCTGAGTTCCAGGTCAGCCTAGACTACATAGCAAGTTTTAGGCCAGCCAGTGCTACATAGACTCTGTCTTAAGAAGAAGAAGGGGAAAAAAAAAAGACTCTAGGGGGTATGCAAAGCATAAGTAAGCTTTATTAAGAAGTACAGTGACCAGGTGTGGTGGTGCATTCTTTAATCCCAGCACTCAGGAGGCAGAGGCAGGCAGCTCTCTGTGAGATTGAGGCCAGCCTGGTCTATATAGTAAGTTCCAGGCCAGCTAGGGCTACTGGAGAGTCTGTCTCAAAAAGACTTAAAAAAGTAGTACAGAGGGCTGGAAAGATGGCTCAGTGGTTAAGAGCACTGACTGCTCTTGCAGAGGACCTGGGTTTGATTCCCAGCACCCACATGGTGGCTACGAACTGTCCTTAACTCCAGTTCCAGGGGAATCCAAAGCCCTCTTCTGACCTCCATGGCATTGCACGGCATGGGTGCACTCACATACGTGCAGGCAATACACTCATACACATAAAATAAAAACAATAAATAAAATATTGAAAAAAATAAATAGATAAGTAGAAATAAAAAGAAATGTGGGCCAGTGAGATGGCTCAGTGGGTAAGGACACTTGCCACCAAGCCTGATGACCTGAATTTGATCCCTAAAAACCACATAATGGAAGGAGAGAACCAACTCCTAAAAGTTGTCCTTTGATGTCCACAGGTGTGCAGAGATATGTATATTCCCCCTATAAATAAATAAATGTAATAAAAACTTCTTAAAAGAGGGATGTATCAGTTACAGGACAGGAAACACAGGGAAAAGTCACTGTAATCCCTGTTCAGCCTATTGTTATTGTGCTGAATTCCCAGCACCTCCCAGTGACCTCACTGTTTGTTCCCAATCGTTCAGGGGCTGAGCCATCTGTAAATGGAACTTGGACTTCAGTGGGATCAGACACAGTGATTGGTTTTGGTATTGAATTCAGGGCTTCACACTTGCTAGGCAAACACTCTACCACTGAGTGATCTCCCAAATTTTTTTTTCTACTTTTTATTTTGAAGCAGTCTAAGTTGCCCAGGTTGACCTTGAACTGCACTCCTCATGCTTCAGCCTCCTGAGTAGCTGAGATTACAGTCCTGCAACACCAGGCACTGCTGACAGTGGCTTTGAGTGGCTTCCAAAGCCAAATGGAAAGCCAAAGGTACAAGTTACTTCCCTGACTGGATCCTCAGTGCAGTAGCTCTGTGTGTCTATGAGATCCACATCTTGAGATTTAACCAAGCAGGGTTCAAGAATATTTAGAATAAAATAGTTGCATTTTTATGAACATATACAGACTTTTTTCTTATCATTATTTTATAAAAAGTCAACTATAGTAATTTTACATAATGTTTATCTTGTATTAAGCATCATAACTAATCTATAGTTGATTTATTTATTTAGATTTTTGGAGACAGGGTCTTACTATGTAGCCTAGGCTGATCTAGACAGTCCTGCGTGAGCCTCCCAAGGGCTGGGATTACAAATGGGAGGCAACAAACTTGGTTTATAAAGATGATTATATGGAAGAGTGCTGGGGTGTAGCTCAGAGACAGAGGGCTTGCTTAGCATGTGAGGCCGAGGTTCCATTCCCAACACCACCAATAAATAAACAAGTGAATGTAGGCCAGGTGTGGTGGGAGAAAGAGGCAGGCGGATCTCTGTGAGTTCAAGCCAGCCTGGTCTACCTAGTGAGTTCCTGGTCAAAAATAAACAAGTGAATGCATACATTCGGATAATTCTATTAACGGCTGGAGATGGCTGTGGGAAGTTAAGTAAATCTGCAAGCTTCCATGACAATTCACAACTGGTATTATTTGTTCCAGTCCCAGAGCTCCCTGCACAGTAGTGCTTTGTATTGAGAGACTCAGTTTACCACTTGGAATAAATGCTGCTGGGGTCCTTTCCTCCTGGCCCCACCTGATGCTTTGCTCCACAAGATAAGCTGCTGTTGCCCGGCCTCTTTTTTTTTTTTTTTTTTTTTTTTTTGGTCAAACATTTGTCTACACCAAAGCTGTGCAGAGTCAGGGACTTTGCGGCCAGGACTCTGGACTTGTTTCATTGCCCTCACATATGCCCACCAAGTGCTCCACCTCTGAACTACATCCATAGCCCCTGAGATTTGGGCTTTATCTGAAGCGGGAAGATGGAAGAATCCAGACTCTGAGAGTGTGGCCATTATCCAGGCACTGGGGAACAATACTGCTTTCCTTTAAGCCAGGGGATGTGATGTGGTCAGACTTGTGTTTCAGTCTCTTACAGACCAGTGACAAAGGAAGGGTGGCAGAGCAGGAGAGGTGCAGGCAGGAAGGAAAAGTCTGGGTTCTGATAGAGAAGGGGAGGAAGGCATTTGACAGAACTGCTCTGAAAAGCTGGATGTGAGCTGGCATCCACATGCCCTCCCTCTAGGCACCTTTGGGGTTTCCCAAACTCATATTAAGGGGAAGTGAGGACTTTTGGGAAGGCAGGTGACTTCTGCTGCCAGCCCTGCCTGCCTGTGTTGTGTGATCTTGGGCAAATTGCTTAAGCTGTTTAAGGATGAGCTACAAGGATGTTGAAGAGGTCTCTGTGTTTGAGGCTGGCTAGGGCCTGGCTCAGGAGCTCTCACTAGATATGGCTGCTGGCTAGGATTCCCATATATGAAATGGGGAGTAACATTGCAGGTCAGGACTGACCCAGAGGATTGGGGTGTGTGGGTGTGGCGTGTACGTGTGACATACAGAATGTCAGAGTTAAACCATGTGGCGTAGTCACAGCTTGTCACCACACTGTACAGATGGTGAGGCCATGGTCCAGCGGGTAAAATGCAGGAAGCACACAGAATTTGTGGCAGAGGGAGGATTAGACCCCAGCTCTCTTACTTCCAGACCCTGCCTCTCAGTAGCTCCTCCTGTTATGAAGAGTAGTAACAACTTCCTGTGTACCTTGTTTCCAGGGAAGCCTGTTCCTGAGAGCTTACCCCTTCTCCCAGCCATCCCAGAGGCTGTGAGGCCAGGGCCTGAGGCCATTTCTGGAAGAAGCTCCAAGGATGAACCAGAAAAGTGCCAGCCTGTGGGGCCGGGCTCCTCTCTAGACACAGGTATTCTTGTTATTTTATATTTTTGTTTTTGTTTTTTGAGACAGGGTCTCACTATGTGGCCTTGGCTGGCCTGGAACTTGATATGTAGACCAAGCTGGCCTCCATCTCACAGAGAGAGAGAGAGAGAGAGAGAGAGCTCTTGCCTGCCTCTGTCTCCTGAGTGCTAGGATTAGAGGCACATTCCCAGCAAGTTATTTTATTTTTTAATGTGTATGTATGCATGCATGTGCATATATGTGTGGGTGCATGTGTATTGCATGTCTGTGAAATCCAGGGGACAGCCTTAGGTGTCCTTCTATAGGCACCATCCACCTCCTTTGAGACCATTTTTCATTGACCTTGAGCTCACCAACTAGGCGAGGCTGGCTGGCCAGTGAGCCACAGGGATCCTCCTGTCTGCTTCCCCAGTGCTGAGATTATAATTATGCATGCATCACCACACCTGGATTTATTTTTAATTTTTAATTTTCCAGACTGATTTTTTTTAATTCTATTTATTTTTATTTTATGTGTATGTGTATTGCCTGCATATAGGTAAGTGCACCCATGTTGTGCAATGCCCGTGGAGGTCAGAAGAGGCTGTGGGATCCCCTGGGACTGGAGTTATGGACAGTTGTTAGCGGCCATGTGGGTTCTGGGATTCAAACTTGGGTCTTCTGCAAGAACAGACAGTGTTCTTAACCTCTGAGCCATCTCTCCAGCCCCTGGACTGTGATTTTTATCTCTAGAAGTTCAATTAGATGTTTTACATTTTTTGTAGAGCACAGGTAAAGGTACACTGGGGCTGTAGAAAGTAATAGAAAAAAAGATGGAAAACCTCTTGGTGCTTGGGAATAGGAAAGGGTCAATGTCAAGGCCTCGGTAGCCAGGCTAGCTGGCCATCAAGGGAGGTGGGAAGTCCACTCTAAGAGAATCAGTCTTCCCAAGAGTAGGATCTGCAAATGACAGAAACCTCCCCTGTCCCCAGTGTAAGCCCAACACAAAGGCAAAGCCACTGCTAATGCACAACCTAGGACCTTGGGGGAGGGGTTGTGGGAGTGCAGCCACTCAGAGAAGGCTGAAATGGCTGCCCAACATCAGGAAGACCTCCATCCTCCACTCTGCTGCACCATCATCCCACCACCAGAAGAATATGGAGTCTTAGCTCACAGCTGGGGCGTCACAGCTCCAGGTTCACAGGAGGGGACCACAGCTCCAGGTTCACAGGAGGGGATCACAGCTCCAGATTCATAGGAGGGGACCACAGCTCCAGGTTCACAGGCGGGGACCATAGCTCTACATACCTGGAATTTTTATGTTGGTCTGGTTCAGGTTTGCTAAAGATCACATGAACAGGAAGTAGTGACTTATGTCTTGGGATTTGAGTACCATGTCCCCAACACTACAAATATGGCTATCACAGAGCCTTACAGAGCACGTCACATATGCTACCAGCCCCTCGTGCCCAGGCTAGGGCTGCAGAACACTCTACCAGATGACAGGCAGATAGCCATTGATGACTTCTCCATGACTTAATTCCCCTCTCCTCCCAAACTTGCGAAATGCAGTCAACAGACGTTCCTGAGACGTTCCTGAAATGGGTCAGCCCTGCCGGAGGAGCTACTCTTAGGGACTTGGGCCTGAGGCAGACCTACCTGTGTTTGATTCCCTACTCAGCTGCCTCTTTCTTCAGTTTCTCCATCTGTAAAACAGGAATAAGAACAGAATCTGTAGCATATGTTGTGAAGAATCAAGCACTTCAGCCAGGTGTGGTGGTGCAAGCCTATCATCCCAGCACTGGGGAGGTAGAACAGGAGGTCCTCGAGTATTTGAGGCCAACCTGGTCTCTGCATCAAGGGCTGCAAAGGCTGCATAGTAAGATCCTGTCTAAAAAAAAAGAAAAGAAGAAAGGAAGAACCAGACATTTTAGGACTCTACTGTGAAGTGCTCACTAAGCAGAAGTGCTCATTAAACATTAACAGGCAACTTTCCAGACTCCCCAGCAAGGTTGCAGCTGGGAAGTTAACTCTGGGCCAAGGAGTCTGAATTATTTCCTGTAACTGAAGATAAAAAAGAAAGAAAAAAAAGTGCAGACCTTTGATCAGCAATTACAGACAGAGGACCTTCCTTAAACCTTCAGGGTACTGATGTTCAGCCAAAGGAGACACAACAGTGAGGCTGGAAATCTAGGGGAGGCAGTTTGGGGTGGTAAGGCTGCAGGTGCCCCATTCTGCATCTTTGCCTCCTGCCTTTGCATCCTCTCATTCTTGAGTGCCCAGGGATGAGACAGGCCAGGGATGAGATAGTGCCCAGGGATGACAGGCCACTGAACCTGTCCCTACAGTCCCCAGGGGTGGAAGTTCATCACCTGTTAGCCCTAGCTGGGAACCCAGAATCAGGAGAGGAGCCGTTCCTCTCATCAGATCACCAACACCTGCCTTCTGGTCGGAAATCCCGGATTCCAGATCAGATACATAACCACCACGGTAGCCCTGCTGGGCAGGCCAGACTCAGACTCAGTTCCTGCTTAGGGAAACAGATCTTTGAGGAAGAGTATTTCTTTTTAGAGGAAAAGTTTGGCTACTCAAAGGGTTATTCTTTTTTTTTTTTTCTTTTGGTCTTTTTGAAACAGGATCTTCCTGTAGCCCCAGCTGGCCTGGAACTCACTATGTAGACCAAGCTGGCCTTGAACTCACAGCCATCTGCCTGCTTCTGCCTCCCAAGTGCTGGGACTACAGGTGTGTGCCACCACGCCCAGCTCAAAGGGTTATTCTTAATGTTTGTAGACCTTTATAGAGAGATAAATGGGGCACAGAAGTCTGTCTCTATCCCTGTCATTCCATGAACACCTGTGTAGTAGTCACTAGACTGTTAGCTACAGGCTTGGCCCTCTGTGAGCCAGCCCATGATGACAGTGGTGTGTGTGGTATGATATGTGTATGTGTGATGTGGTCTGTGTGGTATGGTGTGCACGTGTGTATGTGTGTGGAATGTGGTATGGTGTGTGTGTGTGTGTGTGTGTGTGTGTGTGTGATGTGGTGTGTGGGTTGGAAATAGGAAATCCCAAACACATGAGAGTGGAGTCTTCATGTCCCCATCAACCAGCTTCAGTAATGACTGGACTTCTGATGACTCAGTGGCCATGGGGGACTGGTTGCAGGACCCCTGAGTATATCAAAGTGTGAACACTAAGGTCCCTTCTATAACGTATAGCATGATATTTGCATGGAACCCTTATGTTCTAGTTTGTTTCTCCATTGATGTGACAAAACACACTGACCACTTCCAACTTGGGGAGGAAATGGTTTATTTAGCTTACATCTCCCAGGTCACACACAGTTCATCAGGGAGCCCAAGGTAGGAACTCAGGGCAAGAACCTGGAGGCAGGAGCTAGAGCACAGGCCATAGAGGAACGCTGCTTACCCGCTTGCTCCCCTGGCCCCTGCTCAGCCTGCTCTCTTATGCAAGACAGGCCCACCTGCCCAGGGGTGGTACCACCCACAGTGGGCTGGGCCCTGCCACATCACTCAACAATCAAGAAGATGCCCCATGGACATGGTCACAGGCCAGTCCAATGAAGGCAATTCCCCAATTGAGGCTCCCTTAACTCAGGTGTGTCAAGTTGACACTAAAGCTATCCAGCACACCATATACATCCTCTCTGAGCTTCAAGTGGCCTCTGGGTGACTTGTGATACCTAAAGCCATGTAAATGCTGTTTAAGTAGTCGCTACACTCTACTGCCAAGGGAAGAAGGGGAAGAAGCAAGTTTGTATATGTTTTTAGAAATTCCAAAAATATGCTTCCTTTTTTTATGAATCTTTTTTTAGTGATGTTTTGAGACAGGGTCTTGCTATGTAGCTCAGGCTGGCTTTGAACCATGTAGCCCAAGCTGGCTTCAAACTCATGGTGAAACTCCTACCTTAGCCTTTGGAGTGCTGGAATTGCAAGTGTACACACGATGCTCCCCACGTCTCTCACTTCTATGATTGATACTAGAGGTTGGATCTAGCTAGGGTCTTGAGCATGCTAGGCAAGTGCCCTGCCACTCAGCTACATCCGTAACCTCCTTTTGAGACAGGGTCTCTCTGTAGCTCCAGCTGGCCTGGAACTTGCTTTGTAGACCAGGCTGGCCTTGATCTCACAGAGATCTACCTGCCTCTGCCGGGATTAAAGATGTGTGCCACCACACCTGGCATCTTACTTTTAATTTTGAGACAGTCTCATTACATTATCCAGGCTAGTCTTGAACAAACTCTGTAGGCTAGGCAGACCTTGAACTTTTGATCCACTGGAGAAGCTGGGATGACAGGCCTTCACCACCGGGCCTGATTCTTATGAATCTGTTTCCCTCACCAAGGGATCAAGAGATGCACGTACTCTAGAGTATTGATTATATATACCTTTGGAAAAGTTACTTAACCTCTCTGTGTCTCATTTCTCCATCTGCAAAGAGGAGATGATAATGGTCCCTTATTTGCAGGATTGTTGTGAGTATATGAATTATACATGTGAGACATTTAAACAGTGTCCATGGGATGTACATGTTTGCTAACTAATTGTGTTTGGATGTTTATGGACTGTGTGCTGGGCCCTCCCCATCCCTGTCCTCAGTGCCTCCCACCCCACATACACTAGCTGAAGCTCCCCAGCCCTTTCAAGTCCTGGTTAAGTATTCCATCCCAGGTAGAGCCCCCCTTATCTCTCAGCCTGTGTGGTCCCTTCTCACTTTCCCTGAGGCTGTATTCTTGGAGGATGGCATCTGCCGAGAGAGCCAAGGTGGAGGTTTCTCTGTGACCTCGATGTTCTCTGCCAGGTGATGGGACAGTGCAAGGAAATCCCACATGCCACTCACCCATTGCATGATCCTGGGCTATGCTCAGTTTCCTTTGCTTCCTGATCACCTCCTGTTATTACGGATGATAAATTGTACCTGTCATAAATTGTCACCAGGCTTAAATGAGTTGACATCTGAGGAGTGTGTCAGTTGGCACATGGTATCAAGAGGCTGCTTTGGGATGCATCCCAGGATGAATGCTGACCCTGTCATCCCTTTTAGGGTCTGCTGTAGCCAGGGCCCAGCAGCAGGCCTTGTATCCACTTCCATTCAAGGAGGATGGCCCCTGCTCCTTGAAAACTGACTTCCACGCCTCTTTGGATTCTAAGGTAAATCTGCCCTCTGCTTTTGTCCCAGTCATGTCCCTGGCTTGTGGTCTTCTCAAAAACAGTTTCTTCATCCCCTGAGACCAGTGTGGGGATGGGGAGGTCACTGGAAGACCCATCAAGGTCGCTTCAAGTTTCTAAGTGTGGCCATCAATGAAAAGTGGAGTATGTGTGCTGTACTGAATATGTGGGGCCTGGTGGGGTTTTTGTTTGTTTTCCTTTCTTTGGAATGGAATTCATGTCCTCATGAAATACCCTTCCATAACTGAGACCCATCCTAGCCCGGAATTCATAGTTGCCATACTGGGGATTTGTACTCAGGGCCTTCTGCATGCTAGGTAGTACTCTACCACTGAACTACAGCCCCAGTTCTTTTTCTTTTAGAGGCAGGAGCTTACTTGGGTCCCCAGGTAGGCCTTGAACTTGCCTCAGCCTCTCTAGGAACTGGGATGACAGGCCTGCATCAGGCCTAGTAGGATCTTTGTTGTTAATGGCCTTTTTCATTGTGTTTAAACAAGGACTGAGCTGATAACTCCTACATATGCAGGTTATAGGAATTCGTTTATAAACCCACTCAGCCTTTTTCGACTCCTTTGTCTGAGTTGAGTAACAGACTGAGGGTCCTGTGCTTCGAATGACTTCAGTTCAGGCTGTACTGTAACTTTTATGCATGCTGGACGCTCTCACCCTTCTTAGCTAATGCGCCCAAACAGTCTTTTGTGACTATGTAGATTGGCATGAAGATGAGTATCATCCACACTGGGTTGGAAATGAAAACACTGGACTGAGAATGCAGTTCAGTGGTACAGCCCTGGCGTCCACCCTAGCCAAGCATAAAAGAAAAAAAAAAAAAAAAAAAAAAAAAGGGAAAAAGGGGGCTGGAGAGATGGCTCAGTGGTTAAGAACACTGTTTTTGCAGAAGACCCAGGTTCGAATCCCCGCACCCACAGCTAACTACTGTCTGTAACTCCAGTTCCAGGGGATCTAACAGCCTCTTCTGTCCTCTGCAGGCACTGCATGACACAGGTGCACTTACATACATGCAGGCATAACACTCATACATATAAAATAAAAATAATAAATAAAAATTAAAAAAATAATAAAATTTTAAAAAAGAAAAAAGGGCAACTTTTTTTAAAGGCAGGGTTTCCTGTAGCTCAGGCTAGCCTCAAGCTTGATGTATAGCTAAGGATGACCTTGAATTTCTGATCTTCCTGCCTCTACATCCCAAGAGCTGGGATGACATGCACGTGCCACCACACCTAGTTTATATATCCTGAGGATAGAGACCAGGGCCTGGTGTCTATGTTAAGGCAAGCACTCTACCAACTAAGCAGAATCCCCAGCCCTTATTTATTTACTTTTTATATTTTATTTATTTTATGTGTACGAATGTATCGCCTTCATGCATTTAAGTATACCCGTGTCATGTAATGGCTTCAGAGGTCAGAAGAGGGCATTGAATCCTCTGGAACTAGAGGTACAGATGGTTGTTAGCCGCCATGTGGGTGCTGGGAATTGAACCTGGATCCCTGGATCCTCTGAAAGAGCAGTCAGTGCTCTTAACTGCTGAGCCATTTCTCCAGCTCCACTATATAGCCAAGACTGGCCTTGAATTTGTGATTATCCTACCTTAGCCTCCCAAGTGCTGGATCACAGGTGTGTACTACCATGCTCAACCTTTTCTTCTGATTTTAAAAATATTAAGGTTGGGTGTGGTGGCGCATGCCTTTAGTCCCAGCAGAGGCAGGCAGATCTCTGTGAGTTCAAGACCAGCCTGATCTACACAGTGAGTTCAGGCCAGCTGGGACTTCAGGGAGAGACTGTCTCAAAAAGACAATAAATAAATAAATAAATAAATAAATAAATAAATAAATAAATAAGTAAATAAATAAGTAAATAAATAAAAGATATTAGAATGTTTTTGCTAGGTGTGGTGGTGCAGCCTTTAATCCTAGCACCCAGAAGGCAGAGGTAGGTGGATCTCTGTGAGTTCTAGGCTAGTCTGGTCTAGATAGTGAGTTCTAGGGAGGGGGTGCACATGTACCAACAACATTGGTGAAGTTCAGAGGACAATTTTCAAGAGTTGGTTCTTCGGGCTGGAGAGATGGGTCAGGGGTTAAGAGCTATAACTTTTCTTGCAGAGGACCTGAGTTTGATTACCCGCACTCACATGGCGTGCTAACAAACACCCATAACCCAGTTCCAGGGGGTCTGATGCCTTCTTCTGACCTCCGTGGACATTGTACAACACGGGTGCACTTACACATGCAGGCAATATACTCATACACATAAACTAAAATAAAAAAGAGTTGGTTCTCTAATTCGATGTTATGGGTCCTGGGGATCCAGCTCAGGTTTGTTGACAAGAGCCTTTACCCACTGAGTCATCTCACTACCTACTTGTTTTTATTTTATTTTTTGGGAACATTCTCATTTTTTAAAAATTACGTTTATTTTTGTATGTATGTGTGTGTGGGGGGGAGCATCCCTCACGCACATGTGTGAGGTCAGAGGACAACCTGTGGGATTGGTTCTCTCCATCACGTGGGTCCTAGGGCTCAAACTCACGTTAGCAGGCTTGGCAGTAAGTGCCTCAGCCCAGTGAGCTGTCTCCTCAGCCCCATTCTCTTTTTCTCACTTTTTAAAATATTTTTCCTCATTCTCATTTTTATTTATTTTTGGTCTTTTTGAGACAGGGTCTCCCTCTAGCCCCAGCTGTCCTGGAACTCACTATGTAGACCAGGCTGGCCTTGAACTCACAGAGATCCACCTGTCTCTGTCTCCCGAGTGCTGGAATTAAAGGCGTTCGCCACCACGCCCAGCTTCCTCATTCTCATTTAAAAAAAAATGTTTTATTTATTTATTATTTATTTTTATTTTATGTGTATAAGTGTATTGCCTGCATGTATGTAAGTGCACCCATTGATGCAATGCCCACAGAGGTCAGAAGAGAGTGTCAGATCCTCTTGGAACTAGAGTTAGGGATGGTTGTTAGCTGCCATGCGGGTGCTGGGATTCAAACCTCTCTCTGGCCATCTCTGTAGCTGCCCACCCCCATTCTCATTGTGAATAAATAAATCCTAGTATATCTAACAGGCAGGGGACGCACTAATCTTTAATAGCTATTGAATGTAGGAGCGGATTATGGAGAGTTTTCTATTTCTTATTTCCTAGAACTCTTAGTAGTGGCATATATAAAATTTCAAAAAATTTAAGTTTCTGGGGACTAGGGAGATGGCTCAGTGGTTAAGAGCACTGGCTGCTCTTGCAGGGTCCTGGGTTTGGTTCCCAGCACCACATGGCAGTTAACAACTATCTATAACTCCAGTTCCAATGCCCTCTTCTGGGCATTGTATGAAATGGGTGCACTTACATACATGCAGGCAAAACATTTATACACATAAAATAAAATAAAAAATTTCAGCCACATGTAGTGGCACATGCCTTTAATTCTAGCACTCAGGAGGCAGAGGCAGGTATGTCTCTGTGAGATTGAGGTCAACCTGGCCTATATAGTGAGTACCAGGCCAGCTGGGGTACTGGGGGACCCTGTCTCAAAAAGATAAAACAAAACAAAACAAAAATTAAGTTTCTGTGCATCTGTGTTTTGGAAGTTACTGAAGCTGAGATTCTGTTTAGGGATTTTCATATACCCCAAGTCTCACAAGCTCTGCTTAGAGAATTGCTTTGGTTATCTGAACTATACCATGTTGCCAGAAATCTGGAGGCCAGGATGATGCAGGATGTTAGGGCAGTGGCCACACTGACCAGCTGTGTGACCCCTGGGATACTCATATTTTAAAATGTCTTCAAAATTGCCCTCCAGGGTACTGTCTTTATTTTCATTTTTGTTGTTGGGAAAATTGAGGTTCAGAGAGACCAAGAAACTTATCAGGTGTCACAGAGCAAGTTAGTGGTAGAGCTGGATTTGGACTTGGGCCTGTTCACATCCTTTATTATTTATTTATTTATTTATTTATTTACTTATTTATATATTTGTTTATTCATTTTTGTCTTCTTGAGACAGGGTCTCCTTGTAACCACAGCTGGCCTGGGACTCTGTATGTAGACCAGCCTGCCTTCAAACTCACAGAGATCCACCTACCTCTGCTTCCCAAACAATTACAGCAAGAAGAGAAAGCCCCTTGGTATTCCAGGGTCCCCTTGGATAGCTGGGAAGGCCAGCTCCCATTCTAATCACCCACTCTTCTCTCCAAATCCCCAGGACTGCAGCACCTCTGTCCCCAAGCAGGAAAAGTTTGTGAACTTGACTGGAGATAGGCTTTCCTGGAGTGAGGAGGATGTGATCCAAGCCACAAATGACTTTGACCAAAGCCACAGAATCAGTGAGGGGACCTTTGCTGACATCTACCAGGGACAAAGGCATGGGTTGGCGTTCGTCTTCAAGAAGCTCAAGGAGGTTAGCTGGGGGGTTCCCTAGGAAGGGCAGATGCCAAGCCTGAGGCTGGATCTATCTTCAGGAGCTATGTCTTTCCCCACAGGCAGCCTACTCCAGTCCAGGGTCAGTGGACAGATTCCTGAAGGTGGAGATGGAGCTCTGTCTCAGGTAAGCTCTCCTGCATAGTCCCTGACTTTGGTCATCATAGCAGACTGCACCACATCACAGCATGAGACTGAGGGTGAAGCTGGGCCCTCAGCTCTTCTTGTAAAGCCACAAATGCCACCTACCCGATGACCTTGCCTAACCCTAGTTACTCCTAAGCACCTTGCCTCCAAATACCATTGACTGTAAATTTGGGGATTAGGTTCCAAAACATGAACTTTGGAGGACATGCTCAAATCATGGCATAGATAAGATCCTTACCAGAATTTTCTAACAGAGCTACCAGCACTATGTTTTATACATGCATAAGTTGGGGTCCAGAGAGATTCAGTGTTTGGCTCAAGATCACAAAGTTAGTAAGTGGCAGGACCAGCGTGTGAGTCTTCATGGTCTGTGTTCAGAGTCCATGTTTTTCCTATGCAATGAGTATATTATTGGGTTAGAATTCTCAAGGACCTTTACTTACTGTGACTTCTTCTTTCTATGAGGAAAGAAACCTGTTTCTATCCCACTTTGAAACAGAGATGGATTGCAACTCTGATGGTGAATCCATCTTAAAATCATAGCCCTTGAGAGTGGGGTTGGCATACCCTGGCTCTGTGTGTTGTATAGTCTGAGAACTAAGAATGGTTTTTATACATTAAAATGATTGGGCAGATGCTGTAGTCTGAATAACTATTTACTAACTCTCCCTTTTTCTTTTTCCTTTTTTTAAGTCTTTTTGATACTGTAGCCCCAGCTGGCCTGGAACTTGCTATGTAAATCAGGCTGACCTTGAACTCACAGAGCTCCACTTGCCTCTGCCTCCCTCCTTCTGCTGGGATTACAGGTGTGCCCCACCATACCCAGCTCTAACTCTCCCTTTATGTAACCAGTTAACTGAGGGGCTGGAGTTGTAGCTCACTGGCAGTACATGTGCTTAGCATGCGTGAGGCCCAGGGTCCAGTTCCAGCATCCTCCCCCTACAGTTTATAGGTCTAGAGCAATAAGACCTTCAAAAGTTCTCTTTAAATCTGTTTGTTTTCCTGTGTGTGGTAGAATACTCTTAATAATTACAGTTGAGAGGCTGAGGCAGGAAGGTTGCAAGCTCAAGGGCAGCCTAGATTTGTCTTCACCCCCCCAGGCACCCACACAACACCTACCATACACACACACACACTACACACACACTACACACATACCACATACCATACACACATCACATACACAACATACCACACACATACACACCTCACATAATACACCACACATACCACACACATAATACATACCATACACACAGAAATCACACACACACAAATACACAGACCACACACTACACACAGGCACCTCCCCACCCCCACCCCACTGTTCATTTTGAATGTGGGAAAACTTTGTTCAGAGAAATGAAATGAGCTTCCTATCTCGGAGCTGAAGGGGTATGGGAAGAGGAGAGGAGGTCCTTAGGGTCCTGGGACTTGTCCTGGCTCTGCTGTCATTGACTGGTGACTAGACAAATGTTTACTATCCACCTGTCATGACCAGCTGCCACTTTATCTTGGAAAGTTGCTCTCTGGGTCTCCTCTGCTAGGCTGTAGCCTCGGGAAAATGTGATTATTGCAGAGTACTTTAAGAGACACAGAAATGTATAAGGGATGTCCCTAGCCTTCCCTAGCAGGTGTGAAGCCCTGCGTTTGATTCCTAGCACTACTCCTCCCAACCCCAGAAAAAGCAACAATAACACCAAAGTTATAAGAAATTAGAAAATCTGCCGGGCATGGTGAGGCACACATTTAGTCCCAGTACTCGGGAGGCAGAGGCAGGCAGGTTTCTGTGAGTTTGAGGCCAGGCTGGTTTACATAGTGAGTTCCAGGCGAGCTAGGGTTATAGGAAAACCCTATCTCAAAAATCCAAAAATAAATAAGAGAAAGAAAAAAAAGAGATCACCTATTTTGTTTTGATTTTTTTTGGGTGGTATTTGTACTGGGAATTGAACCTAGCTGGGGCTTCACCTGTGCTCCTAGCTTGACTACTGAGTTCTGTCCCCTATCCTTTACTTTTTTTATTTTTATTTTTTTAATTTTATGTGTATGAGTGTATTGCCTGTATATGTGTAAGTACACCCGTGTCATGCAGTGACCGAGGAGGTCAGAAGAGGGTGTCACACCCCATGGATGGAACTGGAGTTATATCCATCATGTGGGTGCTTGGAATCTAACCCAGGTCCTCTGCAAGAGCAGTCAGTGCGCTTAACTGCTGAGCCATCTCTTCCCCCCTCTTTACTTTTTATGTTTGGACAGGGTCTTGATAAATTGCTCAATCTGACCTAGAATTTGTAATCCCCCTGTCTCAGCTCTTTAGATCCTCCAGTCCCAGCTGGTTATTTTTTAAAATACTTTCCCTGGTCATGCATGTGAATGAACACACATGTGTATAATCACACATAGGCTCAATTTATGGAAATTGGAAGTGTAGTTGTACCCCTACTTTGACTGTATTTTCCTGGTGTTAGTGATCACTCCCTTAGTTACTGGTTCAGAGAGCTCTGGTTGCCCAGCCTCTTCCCAGGCTACAGGGAGTGCTGACTGGAAGCTAGGTAGCCCTTGCCTCATGGTGCCCTGAGGACATGCATGTGAATGACTAGTGAATGAGACAGGTGAGAAGGAGGGAAGGGGAAGGTGGTGGGAACTGGCACAAGGGCATCTGCAGTCATCCTGGGAGGCGGGCAGGGCTGTGACCCTGGTAGAGCTGAGAGGTGTGGAAGCTGTTTGTGACCATTTGTGTCAGTGAACTGGGAGCATGAGGCTGGAGGATAGGGTGTTCTTTGCCCAGTGTTCTAGTCTTCTGTTACTGTGATAAAACACTGAGCAAAAACAACTTGAGGAGGTTAGGGTTTATTTGGCTCACATTTCCCTGTCACAGTCCATCACTGAGGGAAGTCAGGGTGGGAACCTGGAGGTAGGAACTGAAACACAGAATGTTGCTTACTGACTTGCTTCCCTCTGGCTTGTTCAGCTCAGCTCCCTTTCTTTTATAAAAACACTTTTTTGATTTATTTTTATTCTATATTTATGAATGTTATGCCTGCATGTATGTAAGTACACCTGTATCATGAAATGCCTGTAGAGGACAGAGAGGGCATCGGATCCCATGGAACTGGAGTTACAGATGGTTAACTGCCATGTGCGTGCTGGGACTCGAACCCGGGTCCTCTGCAAGAGCAGCCAGTGCTCTTGACCACTGAGCTTCAGCTCCCTTTCTTATATAGCCCAGGCCCAACTGCCAGGGGTGGTACTGCCCATTGTGGGCTGGGCCCCTCTCATTATGTATCAATTAGCAATTAAGAAAATGCCTCAGAGCTGGGTGTGGTAGCGCACACCTTTAATCACAGCACTCGGGAGGCCTGGGCCGGGGCTGGGGCAGGGGGAATCTGTAAGATCAAGGCCAGCCTGATTTACATAATAAGTCCAGGCCCATGCTAGCTGGGGCTATAGGGAGACCCTGTCTCAAAACACAAACAAAACAAAACAAATTTTTAAAAAGGGGAGAAAAGAAAGAAAATGCCTTACAGACATGGCCTCAGGCCAGTTACAAGGAGGAAATTCCTCAATTTAGGTTTTTACCTTCCAAGTGTCTGTAGTTTGTGTCAAGTTGACAAAAACTAACCAACACACCCAGATAGATGTTCACATGTGGGGTGTGAACTGTGGTTGAAGCCTTGAGCTTTGGGACTGCCCTAGAGCATCAAGAGACACCTGGGGGTGGCATGTCACACAGGATGAACCCAGCTGGAGAGCCCTCATTTCAGAGGGCAATGAAGGAAAGTCTTTAAAAAAAAGGCCCCAAGTGTGTTCCTTGAGGCAGGAAAGCCAGGAGGAAAGGGTAATCCAGACCAGTGGGGGTCCCCTGAGTTAAACTAACCTGGTCAGGTGGTGTGACCTCCAACAAAGTCTTCATCCTTAAACCTCTGTTCAGGAAATGGAGTAGGGACAGGAATGGAGTGGGGATGGTGTCAAAACAGGGTGAGGCCCTCAAGGGTCAGAGCCTGTGACACCTGGGAGGTTGCTGTGGCTTAGGGGTGGAAGGGAAGGTCAGCCTTTGGCTCTTGGCTGTTTGATGCCTAACTCCGTGCTGGTGCTGGGTTCAGGTGCTGCCACCCTAACATCTTGCCCCTGTTGGGCTTCTGTACTGGAAGATTCCACAGCCTCATCTACCCTTACATGGCAAATGGCTCTCTGCAGGACAGACTCCAGGCTCAGGTAAGCAACAGGATCACTGGTCATAGAGAATAGAGCAGGTGGCCCTGGATAGGGGTCAAAGTTAAGCACTTACAGGGGTCCCCATGAACTTGCTTAATGCTTATAAAATTCCCCAAACATACGCATCAACATATCCTTTATTTTATTTTTGTTTTATTATTATTCCTTTTGAGATAGTCTCTGATACAGCCTCAAACTTGCTATATAGCCAAAAACGACCTTGATTTTCTGGTCCTTCTGCCTTCATTTCCTGAGTGCTAGAATTCCAGGGTGACTGGTTTATGAAATACTAAGGATCAAACCCAAGACTTTGTGCATGCTAGGCAGGTACTCTAAACTGAGCTACATCTCCAGTCCCCTGCCCCCTTTTTGATGTTGAGACAAAATCCAGGGCATTGCCCATACCAGTCAGTCCTGCCTTACTGAGCTGTAACCCCATCCCAGTATTTCCATGTCAAACCCAAGGAAGCTGAGACTCAGAGACCTCAATTGTCTTTCCCAAAGTTGCACAGCTCATGTGTGTCTGAGATGGGGATTTACACTGAGACCCTTTCATATAAATAGCATGTATCATTCATGCTATTCCATCATGCTGGCTGAACCCTGTGGCTGAGGACAGATGTAAAGGAATCCAGGCTAGGCCATTAGGACTTTAGAGAGACATGGGGTGACTGTTTCTCTTCCTATTTTTTCTCTCAGGGTGGCTCAGACCTGTTGCCTTGGCCCCAGCGTGCCAGCATCTGCTCAGGGCTGCTTCGTGCTGTTGAGCACCTGCACAGCCTGGAGATTATCCACAGCAACATTAAGAGGTGAGAGGACTGGGCATGCTGGGCTTGTCCCCCAGGCCTGGCCATGAGGCAAGGTCAGTTCTTGTTCTTGACTCTCCTGTCTATTTTCTCTCTCACTTCTCCCCTGGGAACCTTAGTGTGCACCTTTCTGGATTCTCAAAACCCAGTATTCCCAAGGTGTGCTCTCTGCTTATGCCTAGCACGCATCATTGTCTGTCACCATCTCCATCTTTCTAAGCCAGTTTCTTAACAAGCCACAGCACTCTAAGCATTTTACCGTCTGCTCAGCAGTTGGCCTGGATCCCACTAGGGAGTTCTGGGCCACACCTGGCCAGCTTCTGGGACTGGAGCTCCCTGTTTAAGTTTTTCTCAATATGTACCCTGCCTGAGTGTCTGTTGGTGATAGATCTTGTCAGGGAGGGAGGCTTCCTACACACAGCATCTTAGTGTCATGTGAGCAGGAATAGGAGGACTGGCAGCATGGGGAAGAGATTCCTGAACATTCCAGACAATTTGGTAGAACTAGCCCCAGAACCATAGGCCTTACAGTTCCCCAAGGTTTTCTCTCCATCTGGCTTATGCCAACATGGAAGCCCTTTCCGCTTTCCTTTCCTAAATTGTATCCCATTGTACCAACAACCAAATTGTTGCTAAGAAATGAGAGGAAAGAGAGAGGGTGGATTGCTGGGTCACCACTCCCTCTTACTGGTGGGTTGAACATGCCAGGCAAGTGCTCCTCCACCAGACTACATCCTGTCTTATTTTCAGTTTCTCATTTCCCCTCCACACAGATCCTTACCCTTGAGCTAGAAGAGTTACCTGTTTCCCAGTTCCTCTTTACCCCTTATATAAAGCAACTCCCCACATTGCATGTCATCATGGTTTGTCGTGATTTCTTAGTTTTTCTGTGAAGCAGTTTGCCCATGGTTGACTTATGCATTTTTTTTTTTTTCGTCTTTTTGAAGCAGGGCCTCCCTGTAGTCCCAGCTGTCCTGGAACTCACTATGTAGACCAGGCTGGCCTTGAACAACTCACAGAGATCTGCCTGCCTCTGCCTCCCAAGTGCTGGGGCTACAGACGTGCACCACCACGCCTGGCAGACTTATGCATTCTTAATAGGGGTTATTGGAGTTGCTATCTACTTAAATTTTTTAAAGTTATGTTTTATTTTTATTTATTTATTTATTTATTTATTTATTTATTTATTTATTTATTTATTTATTATATGTGTGTGTATACATGCATGCATGCCACAGTGCACAGGTGGATGTCTGAGGACAACTTGTGGGAGTTGATTCTCTCTTTCTACCATGAGTCCCAGACATTGAACTCAGGTAGGTCATCAGGCTTGATGTAAGCCCCTGTTCCTGATGAGCCATCTCAGCAGCCAGATTTTTTAGTTTTTTTTTAAAAAGATTTATTTTTATTTTAAATTGTGAGTATATGTGTATCTATGGGTGAGTACAGTGCTCACAGAGGCCAGAAAAGGGTATGTAATCCCTTGGAGCTGGAGTTACAGGTGGTTGTGAGCTGCCCAGTGTGGGTTCTCTGTAAGAGCAGTACATGTTCTTAACTGTTGAGCCATCTCTCAAGCCCCAATTTTTTAGTTTTTTTGAGACAGAGTCTTACCATGAATCGAAGCTGGCCTGGAACTCACTATGTATCCCAGCCCAGCCTTGAGCTGCAGCAATCCTCCTGTCTCAGTTTCCTGAGTGGTAGGTATGAGCCGCCACTATGCCTAACCTAGTATCCTACTTTTAAAATACTGTTTGGGTTCTACTCATAGAGCTTAGCTTTTCATTTCAACTCTCTTTTCCCAGGAATTATTTTTCTGAGTTAGCTCCCAACAGCTAGATGACTGGCTCAAAGTATATTTTTACTACTCTTTCTGAAATTAAAAAAAATGCTCTTATTCCTTACAACCTGGGAAAGTTGAGTTGTAAAGGATGCCAGTGTTTGGACTTGAACCCACCAGACCAGAACTGGGTGTGGGAGCAGCTTTGGAAGGGTTTAGACCAGTGTGAGCAATGGGCTTGGCTGGCCAGGGCTGACATCTATGGGGAATGGTGAGGCTGACTTCTCTGGCAACTAGATGAACTCTGTGCCTTTTGCTGGAGGGAGTGGGCTGCTAAGGTCTTGCCCGTTTAGGGCTGTCTATTTCATGTTGAAAGTCTTCTGTGACCCCACTTGCAGGCCTGATGTTGCCCAATGCCAAGTTGTCAAAAGTGTCACCATGGCAACCTCTCCTCCTAGAGTACGAAAATTCTCTCTGCCTGCTTTTCCACAGCGCCAATGTTTTGCTGGACCAGCATTTCACCCCAAAGCTGGCTCATCCAGTGGCTCACCCGTGTCCTATTGACAGAAGGTCAAAGTATACTATGATGAAGACCAACCTGTTCCAGGCCTCAGCTGCATATCTCCCAGAAAACTTCATCAGAGTGGGGCAGCTGACCAAGCAAGTGGACATCTTCAGCTGTGGAATTGTAAGGGTTCCCTTCCAAGCTTAACCTGGGCTTGTACGCATGCATCCTTCCCACAGCTCCTCTGTAAGCACAGGGCTTCCCTGGAGGTATAGCAGAGGCCATCAAACTGGCCTATAGGGCAGATTTGAGGCGTAGCCTATTGTGGAATCTTTTTTTATTTTAGTGTGTATGTGCATATATTTGTGTGAGTATGAGTGTACGTTTGTGCCAATGTTTGTTTGCATGTGTGTGGAGGTCAGAGGACAACCACAGGTGTCATCCTCAGGTGCCCATCTACGTCCTTTGAGACAGGGTCTCTCATTGGCCTGGACTTGATTAGGCTAGACTGGCTGTCCAGTGGACCCCAAGAATCCTGACTCTGCATCCCCAGGGCTGGAATTATAAGAGCATGCCACCATACCTGGCATTTTTATTTATTTATTTTCATTTTATGTGTATGAGTTTCTAAGTACACCAGTTGTCATGCTGTGGCAACAGAGGCCAGAAGAGGGTGTTGAATCCCCTGGAACTGGAGTTATGGACTGTCATTAGATGCTGGGAACTGAGCCCAGGTTCTCTGTGAGAGCAGCTCATGCTCTTAACTGCTGAGCCATCTCTAGCACTATACCTGGCATTTTTATGTGGGTTCTAGGGATTGTACTCAGGTCCTCATGCTTGCAAGATGAGTACTTTATTGATTGATCTATCTCCCTACTGCATCACAGTTTTAATTTTTGTGGTGCTGGAGATAGAACCAAAGGCTTCATTCATGCTAGACAAGTGCTTTTCCACCAAGTGATACTTCTAGTAAGATTTTTTGTTTTGTTTCTCTTGTTGAAACAAGATCTCACTCTATAGCCCAGGCTGGCTGCCAACCTGCCTCAGCCTTTTTTTTTTTTTCTTAAGGCAAGGTCTCCCCAGCTGGCCTGAAACTCCTATGTAGACCAGACTGATCTCATTCTCACAGAGATCTGCCTGCCTCTGCCTCCCAAATACTGGGACGAAAGGTGTGTGTCACCAGACCCAGTTTCTGTGGTCTATTTTGTGTTGCTTTTGAGCTCTGAGTAGTGTTCGTAGTTATAAATATTTAGGTAGGTGGGGAAGGTAGCACATGCCTATAATCCCAGCACTTGGGAGGCTGATCCAGGAAGATTGCTTCTAGTTGTAGGTCAGCCTGGGCTACATAGTGAGTTCCTGATCAACCTGACCTACAGAGTGAGACCTTATCTTAAAAACCCTTAAAAAAATTGTATGAAAAAAAAAGAGTATGTATCAGAGGCCATATGTGACCCACATAAGCTGGAAGTCACGATATCGATTACTGTGCAGAATTTAGTAGGCTGCAGGTGTTATCTCCTGACTTTCTGATTCACATCCAGTCACTACCTGGTTTTCCGTCCATTTCTCTGTCCTGTTTGTTCAGTGTCCTCCACTCATCTTTTCAACCATCCATCTAACATCCTTTCATCCCTCCCTCCACAACCACTCATCTGGTCATTATCTCTACACCCCTCCCACACCCTCCCTGCCTGTCCTGGTGCCAGGCGCTCAGAGCAAATGCAAAGCACAGTGTCTTAGTGTGATGAGCTATACCATTTATCTCTAAAACACACCTGGTTCCTTGAGATGTCTACAGGATTGATGTGTTGAAAGTGTTTAGTGGCCAGATGGATTTGGTTCAAATACCGTGTTCAGCAAAGCCAAGCTGGTTCTTTACCTTAAGATTAGAACTTTCAGTAGGGTGATGAGCCTATGAGCTGGCCTTTGTGAACTCACCAGAGAATGCTCTGCAGGGCTTTGTAACTTCACTTGACTATGGAACCTTGTTTTCTCAGAGTGTCTTTTCTGCATTAGTGTTTCACAGAAACCAGGGAAGCTCTGACTGAGAAACTCACTCTATTTGGCCTCAGTCAAGCTCAAGACAGCTGCACCTCAGCCCTTGACCTTTCCCTTCCTCTCCAGTCTTGAATTCTACACTTCCTTTCTCTGACCACAGTCTTCTGACCATCTGTTCACATCTGCCTCTAGAGCTCCCATTTAGAGCTACTTTCTGTTCTTAGCTGAACTTGTGTGCCTGATTTAGCTTCCTTTTGCCCCTGGTCAGCTACTCTGCTGAGCCCCCTTTAAGTGCTTGAGTGAGGCTCACCAGGGCTAGCCCAGCTCTTCAGTTTTGAGAACTACTAGCTCTCTGGTGACAGAGGCAAAAGAATTACGAGTTCTAAGCCAGCCTGGGCAACTGAACAAGACCCTATTTCAGAACAACCAACCGACAATAACAACAACAAACCAAGCCAAAACAAACCTGTGGGACAGACCCCCAAGCTAAGTTTGGGCCTTGGTTTTGTCTTCTGTAAAATGAGATTAATTATGCTTACAGAGAATAATGGGATGATATAATGTAAATTGGGTAGCATAGTACTATTACGAACCAGGCATGGTTTTGCATGCCTGTAATCCCAGCAGTGTGGAACAGAAGGATCAGAGTTCAAGGTCATCCTCAGCGACATAGTGATTTCAGGCCAAGCTGGGTAACAGGAGCTCCCCCCCACAAAAAAAAGACTATTATTTTCGGGCCTGGGGATGACACCCAAGGCCTTACACATGCTAAACACAGGCACCACCACTGAGTTAACACCCATCCTGATGATAGTCCATAGTTCACAGCCTCACTTTAAAAAAAATTTTTTGGAACCCAAGGTAAGAGTCTTCTATTTCAAAATGTAATGAATCCAATAAAAAGCTATATCATATACCTTTTGATTATGAACTATAAAATGCAGTAATAAATTACATGAAAGTTTACCTCTTTCTTGTTCTTTTAAATCATTTTTATTTTATTTTTTAATTTAAATTAATTTGAGCTGGGCGTGGTGGTACAGGCCTTTAGTCCCAGCACTAGAGAGGCAGAGGCAGGGGGATCTCTGTGAGTTCAAGTCCAGCCTGGTCTTGAAAGTGAGTTCCAGGCCAGCTGGGACTACTGGGAGACCTTGTCTCAAAAAGACCAAATAAAAGGAAGAGGAGAAGGGGGAGGGGGGTTAGAAGTCATCATTATTCATTCAGCATGCATTCACTAGTGTTCCCTTTGTACACAGCTTAAAACTAGTAATCCAATAAGAAGTAGAATCTGGCTCTGTTTCTCAAGGGCCTAAGATTGGAAGAGTTAGTAATGAGGAGTCAAAGGCAGATCAGTGAGATGTCTTTTGTGAGCAATGTAACACACATAAGTAGACTTTTAGTTTTATTATTTTTTGTATGTATATGTGTGAATGACACATGTGTTCAGGTGTCCATGGAGGCCAGAAAAGGACTGTACTAGTTTGCTTTTCTGTTGCTATGATAAAGCAACTTGTGGAGGAAAGGGTTTATTTCATGTTACACGTCCAAGGTAACAGTTCATCACCGAGGGTAGTCAGGACAGGAAGTCAAGGAAGAAACCTGGAGGCAGAAACTGAAGCAGAGACCATGGAGGAACGTTGCTCACTGGCTTGCTTCCTCTGGCTTGCTCAGTTCCCTTTCTTATACAGTCCAGGTCCACCTGCCTAGGGCTGGCACCACCCGCAGTGGTTTGAGCCCTCCTACATCAATTAGCAATTAATGAAATGCTTCACAGACATGCCCATAGGCCAGTCTGATGAAGGAAATTCCTCAGTTGAGTTTCCCTCTGCCCAAGTGTGCCAAGTTGACAAATGAAGTTAACTATGATAAGGGTGTCTTAGGATCGTCTAGAGCTGGAGTTACAGTCAATTGTGAGCCACCTGATATGTGTGCTGGGAACTGAACTCAGGTCCTCCGGATAAACAGCAAAGCAAGTGCTCTTAACTACTGAGCCTTTTCTCCAGTTCTTGTTTTTTTTTAGAGATGGAGTCTCACTCTGTGTCCCAAGTTAGCCTTGAGCTTGCTATGTAGCCTATGCTTGCCTCAAAGTTTTTATAAATTAAAAAAAAAAATTTTTTTTTTGAGACAAGGTCTCACTATACAGCCCTGGCTGGCTTGGAACTCACTATGTAGACCAGGCTGACCTCAAACTCACAGAGATCCACCTAGCTCTGCCTCTTGTTTGCTGGGATTAAAAGTGTGTGCCACCATGGCTGGCTTTTTAAATTTTAATTATGTGTATATGTGTGGGTATGTGTACTTAAATGCAGTGTCCTCAGAGGCCAGAGGCATAGGATCCCCTGGTGCTGGAGTCACAGCAGCTATGAGCTGCCTGATGTAGGTGCTGGGAACCAAACTTAGGTACTTTACAAAGCAGCAAGCATTCTTAACCACTGAACAGTCTCTGCATCCAGCATCTTACCTCACATTGATTCTTCTGCTTCCAGCTCTCAAGTGTGGGATTACAGACGCATACCATCATGCCTGCCTGCCAGTTCCCTCAGTGTGCTTTTTCTTGTCTATGTTTTTTTTTTTTTTTTTTTGAGACAGGGTCTCACTTTGTAGCACTGGTGGTGTTGAACTTGCAGTGTCTCAGCCAAGATTATAGGAGTGAGCCAACCATGCCTGGCTGTCTTATGTTTTGTTCTTATTTATTTCAGTAGTTATTTTATTCTAGCGTGTGTGTGTGTGTGTGTGTGTGTGTGCCACAGAGCCTGTCTGGAGGTGGTCAGAGGACAACTCTGGGGAGTCATTTCTCTTCTGTCACCTGCATGGAAGAGTCTGTACCCGCTGAGCCATCTTGCCAACTGAGCCTGTCTCAGTGTGCTTTTATGCCAGCTGAGTGATCCTTGTGGAGGACTTCGCTATTCCAGGGCTGGGGCAGAGGAAACAGCTGTTGATTCATTTCCCTGGTTTCTCCCTTTTTGCTAGGACCTGGTTGGGAGTCCCTTCACAATTGGCAGCAGTCTCTTTTTTTGCAGTGGCATCCTGTGCTGCCCTCTCCTGGCCACTGCAAGTCTGCTCTGTCATTACCCTGTGGGCTGGATCACCTTGGTGGCCAGTATGACCCTGTTCTAACCTGCTGTAGGGGAGAGTATGGGAGAGATGGGACTGGAAAGGCAGCTGTTCATGCCTGCAGCACCCCCAGCTGCTCTGCCCCACTTAACAGGTGCAGAGCCCAGGTTTCAGTGCCCAGCTCAGAGGGTTAGAGCTGGAGCCCAGGCCCTGTGACTCCAAGACCCTCACCACTGTGCTGTAACTCAGCTAAGAATGCTACTGTCACTACTTGCAAGTGAATAAAGTAGAGAATAAACCATGTTGGTATGGCATGAGGATTAGGAGATCAAAGTTATCCTTGGCTACATAGTGAGTTTGTGGCCAGCTTAGGCTACATAAGACCCTGTCTCAAAAAAAGAAACAGGGCTGATGAGATGGCTCAGTGGGTAAAGGTACTTGCCCACCAAGCCTGATGACCAGAGTTTAGTCCCCAGGTCCCACAGTAGAAGCAGAGAACTTGTCCTCTGGCCTCCACATGTACACCGTGGTACACATACACACACACACACACACACACACACACACACACACAAAGTAAATAAAAAGACGAAGTCTCTTTCATTGCCAGGATCTCCTACTGACCTTGGGCACAAGTGTCTGAACCATGCTAACTCTGTGCTCTGTCCTGTCCAGGTCTTAGCTGAGGTTCTCACTGGCATCTCTGCGATGGACAGGGACCGCAGCCCAGTGTACCTGGTAAGACACCTAGTCAATCACTTCTGGTCAGTGTGGGTTGGCACACTCAGGTACACATCCATGCAGGCAGGCCATTGTATGTGGTTATGAGGCCTCAGAGCCCTCCATATCCACTACCCCCACCTGCCCACAGCGCCATTTCAGAAGCACACAGCTGAGCCTGCCTGTGTGTTATGTTGGGTACTTTCTGTACATGATCTTTCTGGATCATGTCAGAATGTTGGTTTTAGGGTGTTGGTGTCAGGCTGTATGTGAGAAAAGCCTGCTGAGATTCACCTAAAATATTAGAGTCCCTAAGGAGCAGAGTCCCATCTCCAAGGGCTCTGAATTTTCAGTTCCAACCCATGTCACTCCTCACTGCCCAGCTCTCATTTCAGTCCAATCATGAGATTTCAATGTTGTCACCCCACATTACAGCTAAGAGAACCAGGCCAAGGTACAGTGGTGTGGGTGGTACCCTCAAGGGGATCAGGGATGGAGCTAGGGTTCAAAACCATGTCTTCTGTGCTGCCCCTAGTGCTGGGCCAACACAGTGCTCTCCATAGGGGGAGAGAGGCACAAAACTGTTGAGGCCGTTGAACACCAGCTTTTTTGTTACAGACACTCCAGTCTCTGAGTGGGGAGCCTTGCCAGCCTCCTGCTCTACCTAGAAAGATGTGACTTGCCCCCTTGCTGCTCACTGGGCTCTGCCCCTTTGGGGCTTCAGACCCTAAATGCTGTGAACAGGTCTATTGCAGTGTCTTATTTGGGCAGTACCCAAGAGGACATGTTCTGGGGCTGTTTGGGACAGTTTCTACACTCCTGACTTTTCTCAATACAAAGTCTCCAGCAGTCCTCTGAGGCTCCCTGGAAAACATCATATAAAAAGGAGGCTTTAAAGGCACCTTCATATGAGCGCCAGCTACTCTACTACTGAGCTATACCCCCAGCCCAAAGATAGCATTAAAAAAACCTAGGGGCTGGAGAGATGGCTCAGCAGTTAAAAGTACTGAGTGCTTTTACAGAGGACCCAGGTTTGGTTCCCAGCACCCACATGGCAGCTAGCAACTGTCCATAACTCCAGTTCCAGGGAATCCAACATCCTCTTCTGGTCTCCACAGGCATTACACAACATGGATGCACTTACATACATGCAGGCAAAACCCTCATACACATAAAATAAATAGATAATAAATAAATAACTCCACCCCCAAACCCAAACAAAATCTAGTTTTAACTAAGCATGGGGCATGGTGGTACTTGTTTATAATCCAAACACTTGAGAGAGGGAAGTGGGAAGATCAGGAATTCAAGGCCATCCTTGGCCACATAGAAAATTTGAGGCTAGCTTGGGCTACATGAGACCATTTCTCAAAAAACCAACAAATAAATAAATAAGAGAGAAAAAAGTCTGTCATTTTATTTTGTGGACTAGAAATTGAACTCAGAACTTCACCCATGCTAAACATGTACTATACCACTGAGTTACACCCCTCCTCCTATATGGTAAATTTTTGACATGCATATATGTTCCTATGAAATTGTCACCAAATCCAGACAATGACCACATCACCTGGTCCCCACTTTGCAGCCATCCATCTGCTTCTTGTCATAACAGAAAATCTCAGACTCAGGGGAGCTGTGAACAGCAATGTGTGCGTGTGTGTGCATGCATGCGTGTTTACGTATGTGCATGTGTGCATGCATGTGTTGAGTGCATGCTCTTGGTCTCTCTGGCTTTCCCAAATATCCCAGTTGTTTGATGGCTACCTGTCCCTTTTTGTGTGTCTGTGGTCCATTCTGTTGTCCATTCTGTTTGTCACTGAGGGTGGTGTTGCACTGATGGAGATGCCATAGTCTGTCCACTCATGCTGATGGGCAGTTGAGATGTTTCCTGCTTTTGACCATTCAAAATTAAGTCACGGTATTTGATACTTGTCTCATTGCTCTGACCAAAAAAAAAAAAGGAAGGGTTTATTCTGGCTCACAGTTCAAGGATATAGTATCATGGTGGGGAAGTTATCACCATAGGATCAAGATGGAGGCTGATTGGCACACTGCAGCCACAGTCAGGAAGCAGAGGGAGAAGAATGCTGCTGCTCAGCTTGTTTTCTGATTTCACTCAGTTCAGGACCCCAGCCCTTGGAATGATGGTGCCCACATTTAGTGGTCTTCCCACATCAGTTAACCTAATCTAGATAATTCCTCACTGACACTGCCAGAGAGTTGTCTTTATAGCGATTCTAAATCCTACCATCTTGTCAATCAGGATTAATCACCACAGTCACCAAGGACATTTGTGTGTGGGTCTCTGTGTAGACATGTACCCTCATCTCTGCTGAGGTGCAGTTCATACTTCTCGGGTGCACAACACTTCAAGTATACAACTGTATACAGTGTGTGAATATATATAATGGTATACAGTGGTGTAACCATCACCATAGTTAAGATGCAGAACATGTCTCTTACAGAATTTCCTTGGCTACTTCTGAGGCTGATTCCTCACCCACTTCTAGTTTTGGTGATCTAATTTCTCTCTATATTGTTCTTTTGATATGCATTGTGTCCAGCATCTGTCACTTCTGTGGTACCTTTGAGGTTATTCCTGTGGTTGCAGGTATGAGGGGCTCATTTCCCTTTTGGGGGATGGAACCATCCTAGACTAGGCAAGCATGCTACTGAGCTGCAGCCTATCCCCAGCTTTGTTCTTTTGTTTCTTTTCTTTACTTCTTTTTCTCTCGTCTTTCTTCTTGAAACAAGGTCTCATTAGGTAGCTAGTCCTTGCTAGTCTGGAACTCGCTATGTAGACCAGGCTGGCCTCTAGCTCACCTGTCCCTGCCTCCAAGTGCTGGGATTATAGGCACACTCCCATCACACCCAACTTTTTTTTTTCATACATAGTCTCTCTGTAGCCCCAGCTGGCCTGGAACTTGCTATGTAGACCAAGCTGGCCTGGAACTGACCGAGATCCTCTTGCCTTTTCTTGAATCCCCAGTGCTGGATTAAAGGTATATGCTGGCCTCCCTCCACCTTTTTTTTTTTTTTTTTTTGTCTTTTTGAGACAGGGTCTCCCTTAGTTTCAGCTGGCCTGGAACTCATTACATAGACCAGTCTGGCTTTGAACTCACAGACATCAGCCTGAAGGCATGTGCCACCATGCCCATTTGCAGCCCCCTTATGAGACTTCCTCCCTTCTCTTTTGGTAGATGATTGCATGCTCTGCTAAAGTAGGTCATTCCTCCCATGCAGACTTTGACATTCTGGTTTGGCTCATTGCGTCCTGTGGTATCTCTCTCTCTAGTTTCTGTAGTCCTCCTTTACATTTCCTGTGCCCTCAGAGTTGACTTGCCAAGGTTCACGGTCAACGCTTCTGTGCAGAATGCTGTGTTCCAGGGTGCTGTGCAGCTCTGAGTACGTGGCTGGAGTCACTGTTTCTTACACTGATGTGGCTGCTGTTTTCAGCATCTCTCACTGCTAGCTCTGAGATAAGATGGTTCTTCCTGGTAGGGTCACAAGGTAGGAGCCCAGAACAGCTTAAGTTCTCTTCCTGTAAGTGGTAACCTGTCCCTATAAACCAATCCTATGCTTCAAACAGCTTCAGCTGTTGCTTGCTGATTTCCCCACTTTGAACACCATTATGTTGTTTTAAAGGTAAACAGTTTGAAGGTCAGGCTCACATGTGAATTGTTCAAATATCAGAAATGCCACGTTGGAATGAGAGGCTTTTGCTTTCCAGGTATTGAATTCCTGATGGTATCAGACATATTGTGTTCTTCTATCTTGAAACCACCTGCTTACTGGATGAGAAAACTGAGGCACAGTGAGGCTTACTTATTTTACTTTTTTCCCCCCTCTGAGATAAGATCTTGTTATGTTGCCCAGACTGGTCTTGAACTCCTTGGTGGGCTCAAGCGATCTTCCTGTCTTAGCCTCCTAGAGCTGGGACCATAGGCCTATGGCACCACACCTGCCTAATTCTTAAAAACTCTAGTGCTGGGGATCAAATTTAGGGCCCAAAAATGCAAGGTGAGGGCTCCACTACTGAGCTATACTCCCAGTGCTTGTTTTGCTTTTGAAGCACACATCACAACCCATGACTGATAATTTTCCAGAATTATTTTCTCTGAGTTATAAATGTATTTGTATGAAAGACTGTATGAAGTGTTAAATTAAATTTACACTGAACAAATCATTTGGTTTAAAAAGTATACAATCGGCCGGGTGTGGTGGCACACGCCTTTAATCCAAGCACTCGAGAGGCAGAGGCAGGCAGATCTCTGTGAGTTTGAGGCCAGCCTGGTCTACATAGTGAGTTCCAGGACAGCTGGGGCTACAGGGAGACCCTGTCTCAAAAAGACCAAAAAAAAAAAAATATATACAATCAAGAGGCTGGAGAGGTGACTCAGCAGTTACAAGTGCTGGCTACTCTTGCAGAGGACCTGGGTTGGATTCCTAGTACCCACATGGTGGCTAACAACTGTCTAACTCCAGTTCTGTGAGAATCTGATGCCCTCTTCTGATCTCCCCGACCACTGTATGACAGGGGCACACTTACATACATACAGGCAATACACTCATACACATAAAAAAGTATACAAACAAGCAGGGTATGGTGGTTCACACTTTTAATTCCAGCACTGCAGAGGCAAAGGCAGGCAGATCTCTGTGAGATGGAGGCCAGCCTTGTCTACATAGAGAGTTCCAGGCTGGCTGGGGCTATAGGGAGACCCTGGCTCAAAACAACAACAAAAAGTATCAAACAGGGGTTGGAGAATTGACTTAGTAGTTAGAGGCATGTATTACACCC